TATGAATCAATACATCTCCGGGAGCAATTTCATAGCTACTTATATTACAAAGCAATTTTCTTATTCCGAAATCTTCATCAAAACTACTTAACAAGGACTAAGCACAGTTTACTGGGCTGAAAGATAAATATTGACTCAATGCTTCATAAAGTCAAGGAGGATGAGATGGGCAGAGCATGTAGCATAAATGGGGAGAAGAGGAATTCATATAGGATATTGTTGGATAAGACAGAACGAAACAGACCACTAGGAAAACCAAGAAGTAGGTGGGTGAACAATATTAAAATGGATCTTAGAGGGATAATATGGGATGGTATGGAATGGATAAATCTAGCTCAGGATAGGGACCAGTGGAGGGCAGTTGTGAACACGGTAGTAAATCTTTGGGTTCCATAAAATGCTGGGAAGTTCTTGAGAAGCTGCACAATTGGCGGCTTCTCAAGAAGGGCTCAGGTCAGTGAGCCTCAGAAAACTTGAATCTCAATAATGTTCGGTTGTTCTTGTGTCACACTGGTACAACCTCCCTAATATTTATGTGTTATATTTGCGTAGAATGTCGATCACACAGAGAAAGAACATAAGTATTTCCAAACGATATAATGACCTAATGTTTCCCACTGAAGTCCGTAATTCGTTTGCGCAGTCTTCAATATGAAAAGGTTGATTACGTCAGGCCAGCAGTCTTCTGTGTCGCTTAACTCACAATATGCATAGTTTAGAGTCGTTTAAGAAGGTCGTAGTCTACTTATTTTAACATGACAAATTCCGAAACTTTTGACCTTAAGATACGATAGCAAAAAGATAGGCTTTCCAGTGAACGACATATGCAAGCCGTTGTAATTCAGACTTAATATGCAACCAGCCACTACAGTCCGCGAGCGATGAAGTTTCTTATCCAGAATATCATAGTTTTGCCTGCATTCACGAAGCGCCCTATACAAACATGTCCCTATTTTTCTAAATAGAAACACCGGCCGTTTTTTTAGGACAATAATACAGGGGTACGCGGTAGCGTAGATGTTAAGGTACTATGCTACAAGCCGGAAGATCGCGGCAAGTCCCGATGAGGTCGTTGGATTTTTTCATTTGACCTAATCCTTCCGGCCCCACTAGGCCTTGGGGTTTACTCAGCCTCTAACAGAAATGAGTACCAGGAATTAATTAATTGATTTTCCTGGGGAGTAAAGCGCGGCCGGCGCGTAAGGCTGGCAACCTTGCAGCCATCTTTGAGCCGATTGTCTAGATAATGTGGGACCCTCAACGTCTCACAATCCTATGAGCCTTCACGGCCTGTTACAGGGATAGCTTTATTTTACTTTACTTTTAATACATGACTAATCACAGAGGCCTTGCCGAATTTCGTTCTGTGTTCTTCCTCAGCAGCTGTAGGAAAATGTTATTGGTCAAGGAATTAACCTACCACATCATTCACACTTCATCATATACATTTATTTATTATTTATAACATACATTTGGAACAAATTGTTAAATATATTAAAATACATGAACTAACCCTTCTCCTGTAACACACATTATGGAATATAACTGTGCTGAACACTTTACACATCTTCATGTTATTAGCAATGTGCATACTCCTTTACGGAAACGCATGCCTCAAAATACGTGTATTTGAACGGCGGTCCGGTTGTTCTACGCGGTAATGGATAAGGGGAGGGGTCTATCCATCACCAGAAAGAGGATTGATAAATGTCCCCTGAAGAAATGATTCTTAGGGCCTGATACCCTTGCACACGAAGTAGTTGCTTGCAACAGGAAATTACTTCGGAGTTTTAACTCACAAAAAACTAACATCTGTTTCTGTCAGTTTCTCAGGAAGTGATATTGCGTTTCTAACAAGCTTCGACTTTTTTTAATTATACAAAAGCATCATCTTGTAAACCACCTTATTTCCTGTGTATATAACAAAAATTAACCAGACATTTCTATAAGATGTCTCATACCCTTACTCATTAAAGTTAAACAGAAAGTTTATTAAGTCTATATTATTCTTAGGAAAGAGGTTTATTAAATTTAAATTTTCAATTTAGCGTGCTTAATGTGTGGGTATAATAATGTGATGTATAACATATAATTAGATAGATGTGCCCTCAGGGATCTGTACTTTAATTTGAACTAATTAATCATAATGGAGATGAAAACATCATTACTAGAAATGTAATAAGATGATGACGGAAAATGAGGATATTCAAATAATTCGCTTGAAAATAAGAATAAAAAAAGTAAATGTAAAGGTATCCCTGTAACAGGCCGTAGAGGCCCATAGGGTTGTGAGATGTTGATGTTCTCACATTTTCTAGACAATCGGCTGATAGATGACAGCAAGGTTGTCAGACCTACTCGCCGGCCGCCCTTTACCTCCAAGAATATTCCCGGTACTCATTTCTGTTAGAGGCTGAGTCGACACCAGGATCATAGTGCGGCTGGAAAGATTAGTTCAACTGAAAAGAAATTCAATGACCTCATCGGGACTTGAACCCGCGACCTTCCAGTTTGTAGCGTAGTGCCTCAACCAACTACGCAACCGCGTGCCCCTGTCGCTTGAACATATGTACATAAATAATATTTCGCGATCTACACAATATGCAGACATTAAATGCGACTTTTCGAAGTGGGTTCTTATATTCGCGGTGAAACTACTGAAAAATATCGCATTACTGCAGACAAAAATGAGGTAAGATATTTCCGTGTAACGTGAAAGTAGCTTGACAAACAAAATGGTTTCTTAGTGGCTGAAGACAAGTCGAGTGTCAAAGTTTGCCTTTTAATTACTTCTCTCGTAACACTGAAACACGTTCTTCAGAGCTCTCGGTATACAGACCACTTAGACTAATCATTACTTGTTGATATCATCTTATATTATGCTCAATTTCATGATATTCCTGTCTCTGATATCCTACATACCCACTACATACAACAACTCAATCTGCAGAGAAGTTATACAAAATTGAAAACAATATACTTCGTGAAATCATAGCAGACAATTAAGAATGTTACTTAAGTTTTACGTCATCAATATTTAAAAAGCTCAGTGTATGCATGCTTGTCTGGATGCTCACCTGTGCAAGCGCTAACTGTCCCCCCCCCCTCTTTTGTTTATTGGAAACAATTTAATGTATCAAGAGAATGCTATACAGCACCATACCAGCAAATAAATGAAATCTGTGAGATATATTTTTATTTTAAGCACCTTAGTCTAGTGAAGAAGCATGATTCAGTGGTACTTCCTACAGAAATGTAACTTCTGTGTCTCAACAGGGATAATAAATAAAAATAGCAGGAAGTTCTGGGAGAAACTAATCACTTACTTTCCTCTGATATGACACAGCCTGCTCAGAAAAGTAAAAATTAGGATGGAGGGTCACACAAACACACAGCAAGGTGATCTCATAATGTAAATTAAGAGGTGAGGGGGTTACACAGATAGATAGCAAGATGATCTCGTAAGCCTCAAAAGCCTAAGAAATTAAGGGTGGGGTACACAGGCAGAGGAAGGAGGCAGATTGACACAGACAGATAACAAGGTGATCTCATAAGCTTCCTAACAAGATAGAGAGCAAGATAATCGCGTAAGCCTCAAAAGCCTAACGAAATTATGGGTAGGATACACAGGCAGAGGAAGAGAAGCAGATGGACACACAGACAGAAAGGTGATATCATAAACACCAAATTATTTTTCCAAGACGAGAAAAGTAGCCTAACCACAAAAACCAGAAATATAAATAAGCTACAAACGCTACAGAGATGTCTGGGACACTTAAATCCGTGTTCCTAACTTTACGTGTTTCGTTCCTGGCCCTACCAGAGAGATACCTAGAAACGCGATAACGGGACAAATAATAAACATTTATATCGAAATAATTCTGGCTCATATCGGTCCAGCATGACCCCGTAACCTGAGTCATTTGCCCTATTGGTATACATAAGCCTGTGAAGGCGCTTTGTCTCATGGATTCTAATGACTGGTCAGCTTGTGCTCATCGTTCTGTTAATAAGTCTCACAGAAGAGACTCAGCTAGGTCCAATTTTATCCCGGTGTCTGCTCTATTTAATTGGAATAGCTTGTCTGGACAAGAGGTATACAAATAATCACATACACACATATTTGTATATACACAGTGGTTATGGAATGCCTGAAGGCATTTTTTTAAACTGTTGGGAAATTTCCAATGGAACATAGTAGTGCATTGGTAATATCGGAGGACACAGGTTTTAAAAAACACGAAATTCAATCAGCTCAACGCAATATCTGAGAGCCATTTTTTTTAAATGCAGTTTTCTGGTAGCAGCACGATGCTAATTGCACTTCTGTTTTACTCGAATGAATACTAGATTAATTTTACAGATAAATTATCAGGAAATTAAAAAAACATATACTTATCATATATACATTTGCAGATACTGTATTATTTTTTTACATCAATACTAAAATGTCTCTAGCCGTGTTTATTTCCCAGATAATTTATACTCTCTGTCTCTCTGGCTCTACAGGCCTTGTGGACCTTGGCTGGGTTCGATTCCCGGTGCTACTAGATTTTCTGAGAAGTAGTGGGTCTGGAACGGGGTCCACTCAGCCTCGTGATGATAATTGAGGAGCTATTTAAAGGACACAGCGGCTCCGGTTTAGAAAACCGAAATTAACGGCGGTGGGGATTCTTTGCAATGACCACGCGACACCCTCTATCTGCTAAAGTTGGCACTAACTTCGTCGACAAGCGGCGTTCGCTCTGTTGGTATAGTTCGCTTGCGGACTGAAACCACGGAGTTTGTATTTTCTTGTTTGTTTGTAATCCTATACACAATCGGTAGGACTCCTTGAACGGAGGATCAGCCCGTCGTAAGGCCTCTACCTACGCACAGACATGCATGCCTCGAATGGGGTTAGAGCCCACGACCCCAGTGTTCGAGCGGGCGACCACAGTGATCGACAAGTTGGACACAACATGCGTAATAAAATGAGAATATTAAAATTCTTGTTCCAGAGAGCTGCATCGGCTTAAAGGATGTGCGTGTTAACGTGCCGGCCGCAATCCTGAGGGGCGGAACGGCGACTCTCTACTGTCACTTCGACCTAGAAGGGGATTCCCTCTACTCGGTTAAATGGTATAAAGGACGGCGAGAGTTCTATCGCTTCACACCAAAAGAAGACCCCGCCATGAAGATATTCCCTATATTTGGACTGGAGGTTGAGGTGAGCAAATTAGATCTCCGTTCATTTAAGACTCTGAATGCAATTAAATTCAAAACATTGAAGCTGTAATGCAATTTTTACTTGGGGCGGAAAAGTAGAATAGTCTTCAGAATAGGTCTTCAGAAGAGTGAGGACTTTTATTTCAGTTTTCAGATCCTTGAGGATTCCAATTTTGGATATATTTATATATACTGTTACGATTATTATTATTATTATATTATATTATTATTATCGTCTAAACTTGTTGATGCCTGATTCTTCCTGGTTTTTGTTTCGCTTACTTTTCAACACTGAAGACAGAGGCATTACATTTCTCCGAAACTTCATTGGACTTCCACCGAACTGTATAGAGTTACTTCCCAGAAGACAGAACTCTTCAAAGTCGCCACTGTGATAGCTTCATATTAAACTAAGGACTGTTCCTTGGAGAATTATGGAATATGCAATAAAATTGTGCAAACAGACACTGACTATACGCATACTACTCCCATTTTCAGTTTCTAAAAACAAACTTAATTCGTCTTTAAATTCAGTGTAGAAAAGAACTGATCCTAATCGGAAAAAAACCATCACTTATCTCTGAAAGTATGAAAATAATAACTCTTGGCACTACCTCACAGCCATCTGTGAGCCGGTGGTCTAGAAAATGTGGCAGCCTCGACGTCACACACACACACTATGACTCTCCACGATCAGTTGCCCCTGCAGCAATTTCTGCTGGGGCCCACACAACAACACGTACTGTAAATTTACCAATAAAAGTAAAATTTGTAAAAGTATTAAACGGAAAATTAGTTTGGGAAACGTATTACTTAATCACATTACATGCATTACAGGTTTAAATATCAGATATATATCTTTTCATATTTTGAAATCATAAACCTACAATTTATATAAAGAAATTAATTTCATGTAGGCATTAGAAACAGCTCTGTAACGCGCAAAGAACGGATATCTGAGTAGAATGAAGCGCTCGACTTCGTGAATTTGTTCATATCGAGTAGATATGAACGGTGCTCTCTTATGCAAACCTGGGGATATAGACTGTTATTTCAGCCTTTGGCTATTTAACTCAGAAATGTACTGAAGAAAAGTTCTCAATATTTGACACTTTGAGGTAATATTATAATTATCAAAACCTATTTTTACTGCAAAGCTAATTTTGGTAGCAACTTCAAAGGTCATATCAAAGCAAACAGGAACATGTGGTAGATCAGAAGACCTTCACGAAAATCAGCAAGAGGTAGTGCGTTTTGCCAGCATGTAGGTGCCGACCAGTGTCCTCTCGAGGTGAACTGCGCTAAGTAATGATTCGAGGGACGTTCAGATCCCAGCAGGACTGTAGTATCACCATCAAACCCAAAGATAAAGAGAAATATTCGCTTGGGCATCATGTATTTATTTGAAAATTTCCAAAACTATTATATTATTTGCTCGTATTCTCTGAAATATATTACCACATATCACTTCGAGACCCTGAAGCAAGTAGCACTTCCTCCTCTTTACACTTACTGATTATAGGAAGATTAAAATTGCTGCGTTGCGATGGTCTCAGATAGCACAACAGTCATACAAAATTTCCTCAATATAGGTTAACTTGTTCTAACACTGGAAAGGGAGGACACACACACACAGACAGAGAACGTGGTGATGTCATGAGGATATATTCTCCTTGGAACGTAAAATATATTAAAAGTGTGTCTTTAATTAGAGGCTCAGTAACGTTCACATTTTTTTTCCCTTGGCACTACAGCCCCAGTGGGCCTAGGCCTACCTCCATGAACTTCTCCGTTCACTTCGGTTTTTCTAGATCTTACACATTCGGTAGCACTCCTTGGGCGGGTGATCAGCTCGTCGCAAGGCCTCTACCTGTACACAAACACACAAAAACGCGCACACACAAAATATCATCATCCATGCCCTGAGTGTGATTCGAACCCACGATCCCGGTTTCCAAGCGATCGAAGACAGTGCACGCCTTAAACCGCTCGGCTACCGTGACCGGCTAAAGTTCCACATACTAAATATAAATACGTGTATAATGTACCGATAACCATAAAATTTCAATAATTTACACAAATTTCTTGCTTTGATTTAGCAGCCAGTGCTAATATTTCTTAGAAACCTTTCCTTTCTGTTCCATGGATTTGTTCCTGGGGACGGTATCACAGTGGACACAACAAAGAATCTGGAGTATAAAATCCAATCTTCTAACTTCCAATATATTTATGTCTGAGTACTTGGCTTGTTTTCATGCCCTACAGAGTTCTGTAGGCGATGGGTGGACAGTCTCCTCAAATACGAATTCATATTGGTATTATGAACGCTCAGAGACCCAGCATGGGATCAAGATCTACTCGTATATCCTTTGTAGTGGGATGCTCCCATGGATTCATATATTGCCCGGATCCAAACCTGTGGCTGACACGAATGAAGACTTCGGGGCAGAGAGAAGCATTCAGATGTCCAAATGGTGTTTACGCGAGTAGCGACGCCATTGACTTCTCCAGCTTTACGCTGGAGAGTTTCATCATCCTTCGCTCTAAATCTTCGTAATATTTCCCCATAAATTTTCCTCAAAAGATGAGTTACTGAAATTCTTGAGCTAAGAGTGTTATGGTTCTCAGATGTTTGTTGAGCCGACAGTGTCATAAATTGGGGCCAAAATTGAATACTTTGAATGTAAAACATTATAAACGTGTTTAAAAAGCAATAGTTTATATCACGGAGTGGAATGCATTCCGCTGGAAAATTGAATCTTTAGCAATGTCAACTACAACAGATGTATAAAAATATCAATCTGAGATTCTGTACTTCAGCATCCTGTTGCAAATCTTTAATTAGACGTCTATGAGTCACAGTCCGTCAGCAATGCAACCATTGTTAAAATTTTCAACATTTAACACTTAACACAAGGCCGAGACGTGTTGTGTTAAGTGTTAAATGGTGAATATTTTAACAATTGTTGCATTCTTTATGGACTGTGATTCATAGATGTTTAATCAATCTGAGATATTTAGTAATATCTCATTTAACTGCATACATTTTTATTGATATTAATAAAACTCAGAACTCTGTTTATTTCACAGTACATTATTCATTTTACGCACGAAAAAGAGAACTTTTCTACAGCAATATAGTCAGTTGTTCCCGGCTCTTCTTATTTCTGGTCATTACAAATTACGTATTGCTCATAATGTTCCTTATGAATTACTCTGCTCCACATTATAACAGGACAGCGTCTGCACGGCCTCTATGGACACGCTTCATATCTATGAAACCTTCATTATTAACAGCCACATTTCACACAGTCAATACTGTCCAGTAAATGTGGCAACACACTGCCCATAAAATGTCAGAAGTCAACAATACACTGTTGTTGTATTTTATGTGAGCTTGAATTTGAAATAGTGCGGTACAAAAATATTAATAAAGTATCAATTTATGTGAAAAGTTTGAAATAATGCGAATCCAAAAAAAAAGTCGACAAGAATCACGTGTTATCAACTTATCTTGAATTAATTGATGTCTTCTGGAAAGCCTTCTCGCACAAAATACGACTGCACTGTTTATTATTTCAGAGCTTACAATTTCCTCGGCAGCTACTGATTAATATAATTCCTTTATATTTGTGTGGGGGGTGGCGAAACTGGCAAAATTACCATCAAAGCCGACGCCTACAGAGCACAGACTGGCTTCAGGCAGTGCAACAATTACCAGCGTTTCGGCCACATCTGAGCATCACCACGAAAAGCGATTGGAATAGAAGAATGAAGCCTCTACACCAAAGAGCTGTAACGGCGAGGTACAAAATTCCACAACTACAGAGGTTGCAGTTCCGCCAAACAGGAGCAACAGGGACAGCAGCGCTGCGTCCACACTGTTCAAGCCAGAAAGGACGTTCACCGCGGCGGCATTGACAGCAATCCAGAGACCTCAGCACCCAAGGACTGCGTTGGGAAAACACCGGAGCCAGCAACGGACAAGAACATGTCTGATGAAGACGTGGTCACTTTCATGACCACAGAGTAGGAACTCATTATGGCGTTGAAAACTGCACAGACCAATGTTATGACGGCTGTCTGCCGGCCTGTACATGCAGCACAGTTTGCACCTATCGGACATGCCTGATCACTCTTCTCCTCTGAGAGTAGGATCCGAAGTGTATAAAAACTGCAGATATCTCCTGCACGTCATAATCTGGTGAGAAGCCCAGGCAAAGCTCGAAACCAAAACAACACGGGTCGGATGAGGGGCCTGCCGCGATACTCATCCTACTCTTCTATACTGAGGATGGATGCAGCACTTGTTTTCGAAACGTCGGTAAATTTCTACCGGACTATACGGCATCACATCCTTGTCACCACTGTGGGAATCTCAAATCTCATACTACAAGCATAGTTTAAATTAGAGGTGTTTTGAAAGCCAAATATACTTCTCATTAAGCTTCAAATTTCACATCATCCTGCTGTGTTTCAGGTGCTACGGACGTGTAAGGCAAATTACTTCATATAGATGTATTGCATTTCGTTATACAACCGGTAAGGTCAATGTGAAACGTTTGTACAAAAATAGTTCTGTAACAACAGGTGGGTCATACATCCCAAGTCCCGTGTCAAATTAATGTGCACACGTTTACAGTCCCTGACCATGCATATCCTAATTTAATAGGAGGAAACATATAAGCCGTTCTATTGACTGACGGATCGATAATATACAGGACAATAGTACCCTACACTTCATATTTCTTTGGGCAACATCAGACTTGCTTCTTCTGTTCACCTCGTGTCTACATCAATATATTTATACTTGTCTGTGACAACACACCCTACAAGTGGTTTGACCTTGTGTATATTATTCACTGGCCTTGGTACCCTATTCCATGATGTGTTGGCCGGGTCAGGTTTTCTGAATGCTCTGATTATATTAGGATGTTAACAGCTGAGCAGATCTTTTAATTTCCTTACCTCTCAAAATATAGATTTACCTATTTGCTGTTA